TAGATATGTTGGGTTAAACAAATCACACTTCTCAAATCACTTTAACTTTCTTTTTACTTTTTAAATGTGTCCATCAGGAACTTTAATTCACATACATGGCTCATGTTATGCTTCTGTGGGACAGCACTACTCAGATGGGACTGAACAGCCTCTTCCTTCATGTCCTGGCTGACATTTAACAGCACCTACATGTGCTTCCTCACCTGGCTGGTGTCTCCTACAAGCTGTAGGCTCCCTAAAACCAGGAGCCTTACTCTCCTTTGCACTCTCAGTTTTTAGCATCACACCTGCCACTCCTGATGAAGGGTGTTATTGAATTAATTACTAATGATCATTCTTTCTTAATTAAGTGAAATTCCCATAACACTATTAACCAAAGTGAACAATTCAGTGGCATCTTTTACATTCACAATGATAATGCAACCACTACCTCTAGATATTTTTGTTCCTAGATATTTTTGTCACTCCAACATAAAATCCATTACTCCCCGTTCCCTCCTCTGTACTACTTCTGGCAATCACCCACTCATCAGTCTGTTTTCTGTTTCTCTGGATTTTTCTGTTCTGAATATTTCTTATGAACAGGATGATGCAATGTGACTTTTTTTTTTCTTGAGACAGGGTCTCACTATGTAACTTAGGCTGGCCTTGAATTCACTATGTAGCCCAAACTGGCCTCAAATTCACCGTATCCTGTCACAGCCCACTGAGTATTGGGATTACAGTGGTATGCCACCTTATCCAGCTTCTAACATATGACCTTTTGCGTCTGCTTACTTTTTGAGGTTTATCCAGAGGTTATAGGAAATGGAAGTTCATTATTCTCCCTGTTTATGTTTATGTTGGGAATGTTCCACCATAAAAATTCAAATAACATCTCATACTGTTCCATTTTATGGGTTAATGCCTTTTCCTCCCAATGAGATCTTGTGCTCCTATAATTTTTGCTCATGCTTTGGTGGATGGTAACCATTATAGAAAGATAGACCTCCACCAGGGCTTACTGAATTAAATTCTATCTGGTGTGGGAAAAATCTCTTTGAGAAAAAGATGGACTTAGGTTTGACAATAAGACTCTAAAGTGTGTTCTATCTCTAGTTTCCTGGCCTTCCTCCCACAACCAACTCCTTTTTCTTTTCTGTTGTAGCTGCTTCTCTTGGCCTTATCATATATCTCCAATAAATGGGTACAATGCTGCTGCTCCAGGGCTCTGAGACATTTCTGGATAATCCCAGATTATCATAGAACAGAAAGCCACTCTTATTCCTACTCCCTCTTCCTTCTTCCTCTCACCATTCTGCTTCTTGCTTGTGCCCAGCTGTTCTCCAGTTACTGAAAGTAGAAAAGAGAACATTCACCATTGCTTCCAGAGCAGCACAGTACTGCAGGTAGCTCAGTGTAGCTCAGTGGTAGAGTACTTGCCTAGCACAGCGGGCTGCAGGTTCCATCTTCAGCACGACAAAACAAACCCCACACACCACAAAACACACATACACAGACACACAACTGCACAATAAGCACTTATGTCTTACTGTCTTTCCACACTAATAATTCAGAGAAAATGCTCTAAACAAAGCTAGAATTTAAATAGGGTGGTAATCCACACTCTTCTACACCTACTGCTCTGATTTCTCATAAGATCAAGAACTCTATGGGGGAAACACATGTCAAAAACAAATGTTTGCAGCATCAAGAAGAAAACTTCTGCATCTGGTGTCTGATCCCTTCCGGCTGAAACCACAGCAAAGGTGACTGAAAAGCATGCACTAACCTGGCCCATTTTCTCCTCTTTTCTTTAAAAGTGAGGGGAAAACATTTTGGTGGGAAAGCAATTTCAAAGCTTGGTAAACCTTGGGAACAGAGACTTTGGTTACCCATTCATGCAGAGAGCACCCAGACAGGAGAGACGGAAGAGCTAGACATGAAACTGAAGTCTCTGAGTCATTTGCTAAGGCTTAAATGTGAACACCGTGACTCTGATTATGACACATTGAAAGGCCCCGTTAGAGCAAGGTAGTCACATGGACTGTCTCTCTCTTTGAAGTGATCCCTTTATCTTGAGTTTATTCCTGCCTTTCCACTCTGCCAGATGTCAAAGGCTTAGTTTCAGCAGGTCTGTCCCTTTGGGGATGTGCTTTCCTTGACTATTCCCATCATCCACCTTTCTTCACAAGCAAAATTCTCTGCCAAGTCAGCTGCTATATAACTGCTAGACAGGAAAATGGGTCCTCAGAGATGTGTACACCATGACCACCAAACCTGTCAGTGTGTTGTAGGGGAGGGGAGGAAGGAAGGTTTCGGGTGAGTGGAGGTGTCTGATCTACTGACTCAAAATAAGAGATGGTTTCTCTGGTGTGAAAAACTATAATAGGATCCTAATGAGATAATAATGTGAAAAAGGAAGTAAAGGGCTAAAGGTGTAGGGAAAGTGGGAAGGGTGGGGGAAAGGTAATAAGGGAGAGGAAAAAATATGAAAAATTGAAAAAATGGAAATAAAGTGTTTGTAAATGGGGAGGGGAGGAGGGGGTGAAGGGAGGGCAGGGACAAGGGGAAAAAATGAGAATCAAGTCCTATTATATAAAGGTACAGGATCCCAATAATGAATGTAACCGTATTGTATACCTAGATTGTACCAATAAACTCAATTTTTAAAAAATTTAAAAATAAAAAAATAGAGATGGTTTGGTCGGGGATTTAGCTCAGTGGTTCCACCACCTGCCTTGCAAGCACAAGGACCTGAGTTCGATCCCAGCACCAAAAAAAAAAAAAAAAAAAAAAAAAAAAAAAAAAATTTAAAACCCCACAAAATATATAACATGAAGACAGGGGATGGCTCTAGACCATCCTGTAAGTAAACGGAGGAGACAGGAGAATCAGTGTCAGAGGGATAAACTGGGAAAGACCCAATAAGCCATTGCTGACTTTGGAGATGGGAGAAGACTACAAGCCCAGAAGCATGGAAAGCTTCTAGAGGGTGGAAAACACAAAGAAACAGATTCCTTGCTAGAGCCATGCTGCTGACATATTGATTTTAGCTGAATGTGAATGATTTCAGACTCTTGATTTCTGGAACAGTAAGATAAAAAATCAAAATCTATGTTTTAAGACTTGAGTTTCTGGCTATTTGTTATAGGTGCTATACAAAATGAGTACAGTAGCTGTCTACAAGAGGTAGGGAAGAGACTGTAGCTAATTTTTATGACCTCACAAGCATGCAGTGGGAGCAGTTTCTAAAACTAGAAATATTAATTCTGCTGCAGCCTGCCATGACTCCTGAGTGTCATAGCCACCTGCCACTCCACACATCCTCTTGGGTGCCTTCTGCTCTCGTTACATCTCATGTACTGCTCCTCTGGTCAGGATAAAATCAAGATGCTTAGAGGCAGGAACATTCTCAAAGAACAACTATTACTTATCTTCCTCAATCTCATTTTTAATAGAGTCATCATCTTTGTGAACCCAAATAATTGAGATGTTTCACTTCTTTCATTGAATTATTTCAAACTTTTTCACGGTTATGATTTTTATTTTTCAAAATTAAAACAAACGAGATATATTCTTTATCCAAAACAACTCTTTCTCAAGAAACAACACAAAATAAGCTACTTTATATATTGCCATCTGCTGATTATCAAGAGTCAGGTTATCCATTTCATATTTCTTTGGAATCAAGAAGTAATTTCAAAAAGAAAGAATGTCCAGTTTCCTGTCCACTTCCATTCAACAGCCAACCTTGACTACTGCCCTAGTTATTGCCACCTCTCCTTATTGGGCAGGAAAGTGAGGACATATAAAAGACAAATTTGATTATCACATCTCCCTAGAAAAATAAAATAAAAATAAGGTTTTGTAACAGAAGAGTTCAACACTTCTAATTTTTTAGGGACAGAGATGGCTAATCTATGTGAAAATATAAGCCTGAATCATGCCAGCAACAAAGGACAATAATACTTAAAATAATAAGTTGTCCCTAAATTGGAAAGCCTTTTTAATCATAAAAATCACACACATTGTAAAATAAACAAAACTATATAGATTGCTTACATCAAACTAATATTTTCATTATTCATTTATTCATCTATACAGTATTTTAAAACCCTTTTATAGTCACAAATAATGTGTTCAAAGGCTGAAAAAGGAGCTTCAAAGAGCTCTGCTTGGCCTAAGGATAGGAAGTTGACCAGTTCTGCTTAGTAGACTTTATTTCACAGATCGTTTAATTTCTGTTACACATTTAATACAACTGATACATAAATCAGTGCCCCAAATTTCACCTCACCCTAAGCAAGACTTCTAATCCCCTGAAAATAGTCATGTGGATGCACCTCAGAGAAAGATCCCATGCAGTTAAGTGTTCCTGTTGCTACATTTTCTGAATATTCTATAACCAGAAATAATTTAACTGTACAAAAGTTAAATTCCAGACAAGTTTGTTTTCACCCTTAATGCCTGCTTGCCATGATATAAGTATGTGGTGTTTTATGCAGTTGATCTTGAATGATAACAACACACAAATGGTTTGCAAGAGGTTACCCAAAGTTAGACAGGTTGTTCTGAAAGTTATATGGAATTACACCGATATCCTAAATGTGCTTCTTAGTTTTTGAGTACATTTCTGAGCTACTGGAAGACTGTGCCACTGTTTCCAGGACATTCTGGCACAACTACATATATGTATAATTTTTAGCCATATATGTATAACAAAATTTCAGATGAACAGAGATACACCTCCCCACCTAGCTCCTCAAGGACAGGAACCTAAAAACATTTGCTAGCATCAGAGGACCTGGTCATCCACATTACAGGAAAAGAAGCATGTTTTGTGTGTGAGCTGGAAAAGTGAGCAGTAAAGGGGCCACAGAAAACTCATCATCAATGAGGTTGGAGAATTGAAATTTTATTTGGTAAAGAAAATTAAATTAGGAACATAGGATAGAAAGTTTCCTTAAAACTGATAGATGTGGACTTGCAAAATTTAAAAAACAATTGTGAATAAATAGATGCCAAGGGAGAGTGAGTCACAAGCACATGAGTTGTAAGAGGCTGGATTCAAGAGAACACATCAGGCAATGCTGCTTAATACCATCACATGATCTGCCCTGAGGCCTGGAGTTTCATTAAAATAGAGAGGGGCACAACAGAGCCCGGGAGACTGCTGTTGCTCTCTGAGGATCAGACAGGAGATTGAAGCCCTGATCAGCCTAGGCTCGTGAGAACTCAGCATGGAAAGTCTCCACTGGATCCTGGGATTTCTGCTGCTGGCTACAAGACTGCCCCTTGATTCGGCCAAACGTGAGTAACTCTGCTTCTGTGTTTCTCCCATTCTCTGGCTCTTGGCTGAAGGGATAAGTATTAATGTCTTCTACGCAGAACTGGACTGAAGCTCCCCGGTGACCACACTCATTTCTTCCTCTGCAAACTGTTGGAAATGCAATTATAGCAAAATGCTTCCTCCCACATTCTTTGCTTTGAGCTCATGGGAGGCATGAACCAAGAGGCCCCACGGTGTTGCCTTCCATTGCAGTAGCTACCCCTCACCTGCTGAACAGTGGCTAGAGGAAGGAAGACAGCCTCTGTCCGGAGAATAAAGCTATTCTACTAACCAAACTTTGACTTCCATCTAACAGGGTGAGAACTCACATTAAATGATAGGGTCCCAAATCTTCAGACAGGTTCTCTCACTCCTGCGCTAGAAACTCTTGCTAACCCAGCTGAGCTTTCTCCAAAGACCTGCTGGTGCTTGCTGCTACTACAATGAGGTTACTGAGAGAAGAGCCCGTGCTTGCTTCTCTACGCTAGTTATGCTTTAGAGGATGAGACACTTTTCACAACGTTGATGTCCAATCAATGAAGTGGGCAGCTTTGGAAATGGGGTCAGAGCATCCCTGTTTAAAACTCCTCTTGCCCTTCCAGTGTGCAGCAAGGGTTGAGAGAGAGAGGTCGCCCACTTGCACCATCCAGGGGATGAGCAGCCCCTGTCCTTCTGACAGAGCAAGTGCACAGGAAGGCGGGAATAACCATGCGTTGCCCAGAAGGCCCCTCCGCCTCATGGGGGGATGTGGGAAGTCAACTGGGGGTCTCCGGAGCCACGCGGGGGGCGTGCAAATTCAGGGCGCCTGGGCCAGGGGCTGCCCCATCTCCTGTGATTCTCACTGTGACCGTGGCCGGGAGGGTCGGCACTGGTAGTGGGCAGAGGAGGGTCCAGACACGGGGACAAGCTGAACTGGCAACCTGATGTCTGTGTCTGGGCCTCAGGAGAGCGTGGGAAGCCTGGCTCTGTGACTGTCCCTTTGAGCCGCGGAAGACACGGACTTCACCCTCAGGCATGCAGCTCGCAGGCTGCCTAGCCGTGGTCCTCTCCTGCCGGGCGGTGGAGAGGGGATGGGCTCCCTGCCAGTCTCAGGGCTGGGCTGCATTTCCTCATTTGCAAAAGTGAGCAAGAGTTCTCCTGAGATCGGCTAACCAAAGTGTTTGGCTGGGAGACACTCGTGGTGGAACTGTTAGGCAACAGACCTCTCCCCGCACCGTGTCCCTCCCCGGACAGACTACCAGGGTTCTGTAGCCGCAGAGACCGAAAGGGACCCAGAGCCTTGGAGCCCGCGCCTCGCCCCAGCCTTCCGCCCGCAGCGCTGAGCCTGCTGGCACGAGGAAGAGTCCAAGCTTACCAGGCGGTGTGGTAGGCATTCCCGGGTTAGACTTGCCCTAGGTATCCTGGCTAGATGATACGGAAGCAAGTGGGATTTAGCAGTGACTCAAACACCAAGGGACTCCTAGCCCTTGCAGTCAGCCCTAGTAAGAAGAAAGAAGGCATTAAAGGAGGCGGCTGGCCAGAGCCGGGAGCGGCCCGCAGCCTCGGAGGTGCTGGGTGTGATTCCACATTTACCTCCACATCTACCCTCAATATGGTGCGCGCGCACATACACTTTTTTCTTTTGATATCTACTTGCTATTGCATTTATTTTATTTTTAAATTTAGCTTTCAGTTGGAGGGTAATTTGATTCACTTGACACTGTAAGAAATAATGCAGAAAGAGCCCCTTTCCCCCATTTGCCCCAGGGTAACATATTGCAAAACATGATATCACAACCAAGATACACTGCTGGCGCTGAGTTGGTTAAAATACAAAGTAGTTCCACTACCACAAAGATTCTCTTGTCCATTTATAGTCAAACGAATTCCTCCTGTACTGCCTTCCAGCCTGTGGCAACCACAAATTACCTCTCCATTTTCATGATGTTATTATTTCTGGAATTCCACACAAAGGGATTACACAGTGTGTAACCATTTGGCGTTGGCTTTTTAAAGCTCAGTTCCCTGGAGATTCCTTGAAGTTGCTGCATCAACAGTTTGATTATTTTTATTGATGATTATTTCAGTTTGGGATAATAGGGAACAGCACTATAAATATTCATGTACAGATTTTTGTGAACATAAGATCTATTTCTCTGGAATGCATACCAAAGAATATAATTATTTGGTTGTATGGTAGTTGCATGTTAAGTTTTACAAACAAACCAAAAAAAAAAAAACAGTGTTTGTACCAGTTTATATTCTCACCAGCAAGGTATGAATGACCCAGTTTCTCTCGACATCTTTAGCTGCATTTGGTACTGTCACTAGTTTACATTGAGGTCACACTGAGAGATCTACAGGGATATTTCACTGTGATTTTACTATGCATTTCCCTACTGGTTAACAACGTTGAATATCCTCTCATGTGTTCAAGTGCCATCTGTAAGTCCTCTTTGATGATACATGTCTTTTACCTATTTTCTCACTGGGTGCTTTATTATTTTGTAATGTGGAATTTTGGAAATTCGTTGTGTATTTTGAATGCTAGTCCTCTATGGGAAATGTGGTATACAAATAATTTGTCCTTTTCTGTAGTTCTCCTTTTCCACCTCTTCGCATGCAGTTTTACAGAGCAAAGCATTATTTAACTAAGATCCAATATACTGTATCAGTTTTTCCTTTTATGGATTATACCTTTGGTGTCAGGTCTAAGCAATCCTATCTAACTCTAATCCTGAAAATTTGTAAGCTATGTTTATTACTCTTTTACAGAACTATTTTTGAAGAGTCAACCTTTTGTCATTGGACTATTTTTGCCCCTCTGTCAAGAATCAGTAGGGCATACCAGCATATATCTATTTCTGGGGCCAGGGATTTAGTTCAGTGGTTCTACTGCCTGCCTTGCAAGTGCAAGGACCTGAGTTCGATCCCCAGTACCAAAAAAAAAAAAGTGTGATACATCTATTTCTGGATTCTCCGTTCTATCCCATTGATCTGTGTCTGTCCTGTGCTACTCTCCTTTTAAGTTTGTATTTTTCCTTGACTTCTGAATTTAAAAGTAGAGGAGAAATCTGTGTTTTGATTACATTTCTGAAAACACCAACTTTCTCTGAGGATGTAAGGGAGAAGGTTTTCTGGAACAATGGAAAGCTAACCCTGGGAATTAAAAGATGTGAATTTTCATTTCCTCCAGGCTAAAGATGACCCTAGAGGTGACTCTCACCACTCTCTTAGGCCTGGGTCGTTCATCTACAAAGTGAAGGGGTTTGAGCTAAATAATCTGAGTTCTTTCCACATGATTCAGTCCAAAGTGAATTTCCAAAGATAAACATTTATTGATAAATGTGAATTTCCTGTCCTTATTTAGTATCTTTTCCCAAATAGGAACAGAATCACAGGACATTTGGGTTTTATCTGATTTGAAGGCCCAGAAAAAGCAATGGCCTGAGGTCAGATAGCCTGCTTAGCAGCAGAACCAAGGCCAGAAATCAGGTCCCATGAATCTCAGTTCAATACTCTCCCCAATTCCATCTGCTGCTCCCTGCCCCTACCTGATAAGAGGAACAGAAGAAAGAGACTAGTGTCAGGCATTCAACTAGGCTTTTCTGAACACCCATTAAATGTCACTCCTTGAGGGAGTCCTCTTCCAAGATTTAAAGGACTAGCATTCTAAGTTTGTGACTGTGCCAATATGTAGGACCTATAATATAAACTGGGGAGAGAGCATTTTAAGACAGCACGTGACTAGGAACTAACTGAGGGTTACAGATAGCTTTTGGCTATAACAGAATAGGTTGAGTAAGACACTTATCATCTTAAGCAATCAGTCCAGAGGAAGGCAGAATTAGATTGATGGCTCAGCAATGTCATCCACGACTCTTTCTTTTGAAGCTTTCTACTCTGATACCCTTGATGTAGTAGCTACTTCCTCAGATTTGTGTCCTCATAGTTAAATATGACTGTCACAGGTCCAGATATCATGTCATTATACTGCCATCTCCCAAGTCAATTCTAATTTGTTCTTCTTTTTAAAAAGGAGGAGGACTTCTCCCAGAAATTCCCAGAAGTCTTCCTCTAGATCTCACTGGCCAGGATTTAATAATTTATTCCTGCCCAAACTGTAAGGAAAGTTTGAGCTAGGTTAATTAGCCTCTGGAAGTTTGATCTGTTATAATAGAGGCTCTGCCAGCAAAGGAAAGAAAGAATTCAGGCTAAGTAGGCAGTCAACCAATCTGCTATAATGTCCAAAGAAAGCAGAGAACACATGAACATCAGGATTGTCAGGCAAAGTGAAAAGACAGATAGCAATTCAAGATTACAAAGAATTATGTTATAAACTCTTCTGAGAGCAAACCATTCAAAGCAAAACAAGATTAGCCGGGCGTGGTGGTGCATGCCTGTAATCCCAACACTTGGGAGGCTGAGGCAGGAGGATCGCTGTGAGTTCAAGACCAGCCTGGGCTACATAGTGAGTTCCAGATCAGTCTCAACTACGTAGTGAGACCCTGTCTCAAAAACAAACAAACAAACAAACAAAAAAAAAAAGGCAAAATAAGATTAAAGGGTATACCAATAAGCCAGTAGTGGACATAAAATGGAATCCAAATATAATTCAAAAAAGTACAGGGAAATAAGAAAGAAGGAAAAAAGAACAGATGGGACAAAAAGAAAACAAGTAAGATTATAGACTTGAATCCCACAATACTTATATTAAATGTAAATTAAACACTTCAAATAAAAAAATAGAGACTGTCATACTAGATTTTTAAAAACACAACCATCTATATGCTGCCTACAAGAAATCCACTTCAAATATAAAGATGAACACAAGGTAAAAGTAAAAAAAAAATGGAGAAAAGGTATGTCAATTAAAGACTAATCATTAATATCAAATTTTTCTTCAGAAGGAGGAATATTACCAGGAGCAAAGAAGGTCAATTCCTAATGAGAAAGGAACCAATTCATCAAGAAGACAATAATTCTAAATGCATACACACCTAACATCAGAGCTTCAAAATATATAAAGCAAAAACTGACAGAACTGGAAGCAGAAATAAGCATATTGGCAATGCACAAGTTTAGTTGGAGATTTCAAGATTCCTCTCTCAGGAATTGAAATCAATAATGAGTAGATGGAAAATTCATACACATATAGACAATTTGAAAAACACTATCAACTAGACACAAATGACTATTTTCCTTCTGTGCTAAAGATTGAATGTGGAGTCTTACACATATTAGGTAAACACCCTACCACTGCCCAGCCCAAACTCTACTCAAAAAGTATGGACTGCAAAATTGCATATGGTGGCTAGGGATTTAGCTCAATGGCTACCTCACAAGTGCAAGATCCTGAGTTTGATCTCTGATACCAAAAAATAAATAAATAAAATAAAATCAAAATTTGCATATGGAACATTCACCAAAACAGATCAGACTCTGGGCTATTAAAACATTGTTCCAGAGTGGAATCTCCAGTACTAGTATGTGTCTCTTAGAATTCCTCAGCCTGGCATTTCTTCAGCCAACAAAGTAGTTCAGACTGAAAAAAAGATGCAAAAATTACTAGGAAGAACATTGGCCTTGGAGTTTTTCTTAATGATATTATACCAAATCCAAATATTCAAAGGACACTGAGAAGCCACGATGGCTAAAAAATATTTGCTTTCAAAGAATGTTTTTATTCTTTTAAAGTACATAAAGAGAGAGGTTCCAAATGCTACATTCAAGGTATTTCTAGGAGACTTGTTTTTTAAAAGCATTGTCTATTTATTTGTTGTATGGGATATATTATGTGTTGCTTTTCCAACAAAGATTCTTTGACTGTTGTTGTGTAAGAAGTACATGAGAAACTGAATAGACAAAATGATTTGTCTTTCCAATACTGACAGGGTTTTATGATGTGCTGGGCAATGAAAGGCACCGTGGTTATATGCGGGAGCACAACCAGTTACATGGCTGGTCTTCTGATGAAAATGACTGGGATGAAAAGCTCTATCCAGTGTGGAAGAGAGGAGATGCAAGATGGAAAAGCTCCTGGAAAGGTAAATCAAAAGATTATACCCAAACAACTCTCTAGTCTTGTGGACTATAGAGCTTTTTAGGACTCCTGCTTCGTGTTGTTTTCGTGAATGGTAGTGCTGTAGTTGTGAAGTGAGTGGTACCTAGATTTGGCCATCTGTCTTCTACCCCAACATTATCACTATTTAAGTCATAAAATAATCTTTAATCATCTTAGAAAATTCTAAGTTCATAGCCCTTGGAATATTTTGGAGAGCAAGCAAGTTTAGCTTCAGCTTTATTTAACACGAGAATGGTAAGCTTTAGAAGACCTGTGACACTAAAAAGGATTTTGATTATTCACTAGTGTGGCTGAAAAAAGGCAGGGTGACAGCGGCACATGCCTGTTATCTTAGTTACTTTTCTCATTACTGAGACAAAAATACTCGACACCCGAACTTAAAGGGGGAAGGATTTATTTAGCTCAGTTTGTAGGGATTTCAGTCCATAGTTGGCTGGCTCCGAGGCAGAGTGACACATGGCAGAGGGGTATTGCAGAGGAGAAACAGCTCATGGTGCCCAGAAGGTAGCAAGGCAAGCAAAAGGGGCCTTAACCACATCTTTCTGTCCCTTTATCTTATTCAGGCTGCTTAGGTGGGTAGCACTTACACCCTCAATCCCAGTGCCCTTGAGCCTAGCATTGCACCATGAATCAGCCACACACTCCAGATCCAGCCACTTCTGAAAAAGCCTCGCCTCTCAAAATTAAATTTTAAAAAAGCTGAGGATGGAGCTCAGTGTCAGAGCACTGGCCCAGCATTCACAAGGTCCTGGGGTTCAAGCCTGAGCACTGAAAAAAAAAAAGCGTGCTTTATCAGAAAGTGTCTTCGATATCTTTCCATTATGATAAAGGAATGAATCCTTTAGCCTTTGTGTTTTAAAATTTAACAATACAGACTTTTTTGTTTGTTTTGGTACCAGGGATCAAACTCGGGACCTTGTGCTTGCGAGGCAGGAAGCAGATCCATTAAGCTAAATCCCTGGCCCCTAACAATACAACCAGTCGATCAGAATTTTAAAAATTGTTTTAAGTAAATGTTCTTATTGTGGTAAGAGAATTCTTTAGTCTGACTTTTTCTGTTCATCCTCTAGAATGTTGTACTCTGAAAGTTAAAGTTAGGTATCCAGAAAATAAACTTAGTGTATCACAAAGAGGCATTTTAGTAAAAGGCGAAAGATTTATACATCTGAAGAGAAACCAGAGTATCAAAGAGGCATTTTAGCAGATTTGACTCTACTTTAAATGTATATTTATGTATGAAAGGAAAAAGAGTTGAGTCTAGGTGTCGTGGTTCATGCTCGCGATCCCAGTACTAGGGAGGCTGAAGCAGGAGGATTGCCATGAGTTTGAGGCCAGCTTGGGCTACATAGTGAGTTCAAGCCCAGTCTGAACTGTATAGCAAGACTGTGAGGGAGGGGGAGAGAGAGAGAGAGAGAGAGAGAGAGAGAGAGAGAAAGAGAGAAAATATCAGTGAGCTCCACCTTTTGTTGCCCTAGGAGGCCAAGTGCAAGCAATCCTGACCAGCAATTCCCCAGCACTGGTGGGCTCAGACATCACATTTGCAGTGAACCTCGCGTTCCCCAGATGCCAAAAGGAAGATGCCAATGGCAACATAGTCTATGAGAAGAACTGCAGAAACGGTAAGGACTCACTCAGTGGTTCTCCTAAACTACTGGCGATCTGTCTCCTAAGCCTCGCTTACAGGTGCTTGGCTTACAGCAAAATGCTGCAATGGTCCCTTCACCTTGCTCGTCAAGATGGGTAACAAGGGATGGGCAGTGTGTGGTCCCACCCAGGCCCTCATCAACATCAGCATCCGCCAAACCCACTTCACTGTCTGGAACCTTTTACAAGCGACACTGTTACACACAGCTTTTCCTCAGTACCTCACTCACTGAACAGAGAATACCTTGTTGATTCTCAGATTTAGAGTCTATTAAAATAAAAACCTCTTTGGCTACGCTTAAACTTAGTGCTGTGGCACACACTGTAATCCTAGCTATTCAGGAGACTGAGGCAGGAGAATCTCAAACTAGAGCCCAGCCTGGGCAGTTTAGCAAGGACTTGTCTCAGAATTTAAAGGGGAGGGTGGCTGTAGCTCAGTGATAGAGCATTCTTTAGTTTAATCCTCAATACTACAAAAGAAAAAAAAGAAAGAACAGCCAATTTGACAAATGTTTGCTGATCAATTTAATTTCTGCTGGCCAGTATTAAGCAAATGCTGTATGGTTGGCACAAACACTAAGATGTGTACACTTCGGTTTTGCTTTGCTCTTAAAGAGATAAGCTCTTTGTATATAATTTAAAAAGCACAGATGCATCGAAGAAATTACAGAGTTGTACAGAGCATAAAACAGCTTTTTACTGAGATTCTTCAGTGACAAAGATATTCAGTCCACTTATGATCTGATTATTTAGAACGTCTATTAAATTGTTGATGTGCTTATTCCTTACTCATGTTTATCCCCTAGAGGAAAGTCCCACCTGGATAATTTAGTGAAACTTTGTCTCAAAAATTACAGATTAAAAAGAGGAGAGGAAATGGGGATGTAGCTCAGTGCAAAGGCCCTGGGCTCAATCCCCAACACCAAAGGGGAAAATCCAGTGACATAAAAAATTACAAAGTGAAGGAATTTCTAGATGAGATTGTCTTGATCATGGACTGTGTCAATTGGGAAATACCATATATGGGGAAAAAGAGGGATGGGAGGAGAGAGAGATTGATTCTTTTTTCTAGTTAATTGGAAGAGACAAACGGCACATACACTATGGACAAATACGCCACAGAGACTGCGACAGGACTGGCCCTGCTGTTTGGTTTTGTGGGAGATGCCTGAATTCTCAGGGCATTCGTGTGCTGAAGACCTCGGGAATAGAGCCATGGTTCAAACGAGACAGGAAAAAACCCTGCACCTGAGCGTGACCACTGAGCGGTCGCCTGTGCAGTTTGTTTTGAAAGGGGCTGGAACTGGGAGGCCCAATTGGAAGATGAATGTATGAAGTGAATGTTGCAGATAAACTTTCCTGAAAATCTCTTGATAAAATACGTCTATTGAAATATAGCATAATATGCCGGGGATTTAGCTCAGTGGTTCCGGCGCCTGCTTTGCAAGTGCAAGGACCTGAGTTCGATCCCCGGTACCAAAAAAACAAAAACAAACTAACAAAAATAGCATAATATGCCAAAAAGCGAACGAGTCATAAGCATAACACTGGGTGAGTTCTGAATGTTAGATTTTTAGTCCTGTAACGACTTTTAAACTAGTTAGGAGAAAGTGTAAGAAGTGCTTAATTCAGCAAGGAGCCCCCGCACCCCGCATTCGGCGTCCAGATGATTTGGTGCCTTGTTTCTTTCTGTTCAGACTCTAGTTTGTCTTCGGACCTGTACGTTTACAACTGGACAGCAGCCTGGTCAGAGGACAGCTGCTGGGGCCCTGGCCCGGGCGGGCACCACGTGTTCCCCGACGGCAAGCCGTTCCCCCGCCCCCGCGGGTGGAGGAAGTGGAATTTCGTCTACGTCTTTCACACGCTCGGTTAGACTTCTTAAACGTCCCTTGGTCCCTTTTCTACTTTTCTGTATACTTTTAACTTTATCTTTTCTTAACCTATAATGGAAACTGAACACCCAGAGTTTAGCTTAGTGGACATGGACAAAGCAAAATGAAATCCTGGTGTCAGATCTCCAGGACACCAAAGAATTAAAATCAAGAAACGAGGCGAAGCGGGTGGGGGGAGGGTTTCAGCTCTGTTTTCTAAAAACAAACTGCTGGGGTGGGCATTTAGCTCAGGGGTGCCGCCGCTGCAAGGTCCCGAATACGATCCCCGGTACCAAATAAATAAATAAGTAAATATTTTTAAAAAATAAAATAAACTCAATTTTGTATCTAAAACAGTAATATAAAAAATATTTATTTGGATGGCGCATGGATAGGCATTTATTCTTTATTTTTAAAATTCTCAAAGGAATGTTTTAAGATATGAAGAAATGTATGCTCTTTGTAGGAAACTTGGAAAATGTAGAAAAGCAAATATAAGAAATAAAAATCATCCCAACTTCACAGAACAGATGAGCACCATCAACATTAGTGTTCAATACTAATGTTTCTTGATTACAATCAACTTCTTGCTTACTATCATGGAGCACTTGACTATGTCATCAAAATATATTTATTTTCATGAGTTTATTGTGCAGAAATAAAATAATCTAACTACTCTTCCTTGACAGCTTGCCCTCCCTTTTTTTAAACTATAAATGGCACTTACTGTCCTTTATTTTTGATGAAGTGGTTATTTTAGAAGAAGCAAATTTGGGTTATTATTAGCAAGGCTGCTGAATTCTTATTTTAAAACATCACCAGGGCCACCTGGTGCTGAGTATTTGAAAACTGCCCTCTGATCAGTCTCCAGATTTCTAAATCATAAAGTGAGCTCCATTTTCTTCAGTGAGCTTACTCACACATCAAAATAAAACATTAACATATCCCCATTGAACAAAGTGCAAAATATGTCAAGTACTATGTCTATCTAGTTAGATCAATTTCTGTAAGGCTGACATTTGCCCAGTGCATCACGGCCCTGCAGTCTCCTCACCAAATGTGACCTCCCTGGCCTGTCACTCCCCCGACAGTCCTGACAGTTTCTGGTGAATCATTCATGGTCACTGTCACTCCTGAGGCTTTTTAGCTTAGTTCACATCCCATTAACCTAACCAGATCAGATGTCTTTATTTAAAAATCAGCCTTCAGCCTAGAAATTGCCCTGTTTTTCTAATGAGACTGCCTGTGTTTCCGTCTTCTGCTCTGGTCTCGGGGTTAAGTGATGTTCTCCCTCCCCTGAGTGTGGCCTCATCTCTCAGTGCTGGGATTCACACCACCCTCATGTGCAACTACCCAGAGAGACCCCACTTCCCCTGCAGCCTCCACAGAGCTGACCTTTCAGCTCAAGGCCAAGGGTCATTCCAAATTACACCCTGCCCCAAGACGAGGTGTTTTTCTCACAAGTTCAACTGTGCAATAAACATTTAAACAACCTGGTCTCACAAGCATGCATCTTACAACACCCAAACCAGGGTGACAGGCTATGTCAGGCACCGTGATTGGATTAGAAAAGTCCTGGAGCCCTGAAGAAAAATTGCTTTCACCTGCAGCCAGTAGCAGTTAGTTTGAGGACTGGAGAAAAAAAGGAACAATTCAAAGTCACCCTAGAAATGTATTTATGGCACCACTCCATTCCCTTTTATATCTATCATACCCTATATTTCTTTCATTATTTTCTATATTCTTATACATAACTACTTTTAGAAGGTGAATGATTCCAATCCTTTTAAAGAAATCTGCTTAAAGTTGTAGTTATATTGTTATAAAAATAAGCTACATTTTTAGATAATTTTTAAGTCTCTTGGATATTATTACATTAAATGAATTTTCTATGGGAAAAATCTGTGCTTCAAATGCCAAATCACTTAACTTATATGAAGTATTTTTTTGTAAAGTAAGGACTAAATGTATTATCCCAATAAATAGATATTTCATCTTAACCAACTATATGCAATTATAAAACTGTGCATTTGCTTTATAAAGTTTTACATGAAAATCAGCACTATTTCCCTTTCTCCTTTGTGAAACAGCATTATAATATCATCCTGTTTTCTCTCCTCAGAGCACTCTCTAAATTGTCCCTAGTCTTTAAGAAATAACATCTTTAATGATCATCTCATGTTGCCAGTAACTAAAAATATCCGTGCTCTCAAAGGTCAGTATTTCCAGAAGCTGGGAAGATGTTCGGTGAGAATTTCTATGAACACAGCCAACTTGACGCTTGGCCCTCAGGTCATGGAGGTGACTGTCTACAGAAGACACGGCTGGGCGTACATTCCCATCGCACAAGTCAGAGATGTGTACGTGGTAACAGGTGCGTGGTGTGAGATCTAAATTAACCCAGGATGAAGCATTTCATTCTGTTGACCTTAGCAGGTTAAGAAGGGACTAGGGGGCAGGGGATTTAGCTCAGTGGCACCACACCTGCCTCACAAGCACAAGGTGCTGAATTTGAGCCCCAGTACCAACAAAAAAGGAAAGAAAGAAAGAATGAATTAGGGCCAAGTGTTCTGGGTTTGGTTATGAGTCACTTGGGACCTGGCCCAAGCTCACGTATTTAATTATGTTGTATCCCATCTGTTTTCTAGAGTAGCTCTCGGAAACTCTAGAAAACTTGCATATGAAAGGAAAGATTCATGCTATCTCTGATTTTATTTTTTTAACCTAAAAGAATTATTGTAGTCCTTTGCTTAAAATGAAGCGTTCTTTTTTCTTTTTTGTGATGACTCTCTTTAGATCATATTCCTGTATTTGTGACCATGTCTCAAAAGAATGATCGAAATGTGTCCGATGAAACCTTCCTCAGAGACCTCCCCATTATATTTGATGCCCTGATTCATGATCCCAGCCACTTCCTCAATGAGTCTTCCATTTACTTCAAGTGGAACTTTGGGGACAACACTGGCCTGTTTGTTTCCAGCAATCATACTTTGAATCACACCTACGTGCTCAATGGAACCTTCAACCTTAACCTCACTGTGCAAGGCTCAGTGCCTGGACCGTGTCCATCACCTTCCACACTTCCAAAACCTATCCCTTCTTCAGGTAAATATTATTGTGGGTGGTCTTTGAAGGGGATTCTTTAATGGCTACAAAATATTCGTGTAGCTCATTGGTGCCAAACCTATGGCATGAGTGATGCAGCTGCCTGTTTGTTATTATTGAAAGCTCTAAAAGGTTCGTCATCACTGATGTAGGTTTTATTTATTTATTTACTTATTTAGCAGTACTAGGGACGGAACTCAGGGCCTTCCACATGCTAAGCACTACACCTCTCAGCTGTTTTCCCAGCCCCCGAAGTAGGAACTTAATAGTGTAACTTAGTCTTGGGGATGTAGTAAGTGATATAGCATTTGCCAACTGTCTGAGGCCCTGGCTTCCAGCCCCAGCACCAATAAATAAATACACACACACACACACACACACACACACACACACACACATAAATAAATGCCTACATAAAAGAATTCTGTAGCGACTCTATAGTGATTCCACTTTGTATCTGTTGATTTTTTTAAAAAGTACTTTATTGCCATTTTAAGCCTTTGGAACAAGGAAGAAAGGAGAGTGTGTTTAAAATCACTTTGCCAGTAGAATTTGGTGACCCATAAAAATGTATCCCTAATCCTCCCAATTTGCACCAGCCCTTGCTACGTATATACATTGCCTGCTGTCTTCTAACTGGTCACGGTTCCATTTCTCTCCCAGTTTTCATGGCTGGCTCCTTATGAAGCATCAGGTCCTCCTTCCCTACCCTGCTCACTCTCACCAGTGTCCCATGAAAGCCAACCATACTTGAAAGCAACTTCTAAATGGCCCAAGAAAAGATGCCACTTGAGAGTATCTCTCGGTCAGTAAGCCAGAGCATCTTCAGCCATTAAAATTGATCAGGGTTGAACGAAGATTGATGAAATATCAACTTCTGTAAATAGTATGTAAGGGCATTTGAGAAGTCCCTAAGTGTCCCCTTTGGGAAACACTGGCTTCCATCTGATTCACCACTCTGACCCAGGCCATCACCACCTTTTCCCTCTGGGCCATCAGCCTCCATCAGCAAACCAGGCTGACATCCTCTCAGTGGTCACAAAAGGCCACCATGACTGAGCCCCAGAGAAATACCACATCACCATTTCTGGATTTCTAGTAGTATAAATATATATATCATTGTATCATATAAACTTTTCTACTTTCCTAAAGAAGGCCTCTCATACCAGTCTCTAGGCAACAGGAACATAAATACTGAATTAAGGGTAAAGTTTGTCTCCTTTCCATCATTTAAGATGTTTGTTTCCCTCTATTAATCATTCAGTCATACCTTGACCTTATAGATACAATATCTACAAAATTCCTTGTGCATTTTTGTAAGCATTGTCTCTAAGGTAGAATTGCTAATTTTTATTATTTGGTCTTTTAAAAAAGAAATTACGTTTAAAATATGACAGGGTTGTGAGGCTATACACTGACAGCTCATTCTGCCTGTCAAGAACTTCAACTAAAATAATTTTGTAGTTTTCTAGGGGAAAACTAGTGATCTTAAGTGCTGTATTAACCAGCTTTCCTCGCATTGCCCAATGCCCAAAACTTAAATCAGGAGAGGTTCATTTTGGCCCATGGTTCCAGAGGTTCAGTCCATCACTGACTGGCTCCAGAGCAGATGCAGCAAGGTAGGAGGCCATGGTGGTGGAGGAAAGCTGCTCAACCCAGGGCAGCCAGGAAGCACAGCGGGAAGAGAGAAGGGAGGAGCCCAGGACTAGAATACACTTTTCCAGGTCCTCCCAGCCCGGCCCAACTAACAGAAAATTCAACCATGAGCTCATCAATGGATTAATCCAAGGGTCCCCAACCCTCAGGCCATGGACCAGTACTATGCTGTGGTCTGTTGGGAACCAGGGCTTACAGCAGGAGGTAAGTGGATGTTCAAAGCTTTGTCTGTATCTATAGCCACTCCCAATCATTCATATAACATCAGAGCTTAGCCTCCTGTCAGATTACCAGCAGCATTTGATTCTCATAGGAGCTCAAACCCTGCTATGAACTGCACATGCGAAGGAACTGGAGTGAGCCCATCCTGTGAGAATCTAATGTCATAATAATAGAAATAAAGTGCACAATGCAGTAATAATAGAAACAAAATACAGAATAAGTGTAATGTGCTTGAATCATCCCAAAGCCCCACCCAAACCTTCCACGAAACTGGTCCCTGGTGCAAAAAGAGGCTGGGAACCACTGGATTAATCCCCCTGGTAAGTGTGACTCTTCCATGATCTAATCATCTTCCAACAGTCATTTCTGAGCACATGAGACTTTGGGAGACCTTTTAGATCTAAACCATAACAGATGTTCTCCACAAGCAAACCTAGGGCAATAGAGCACACCAGCCACGTATTGGAGCGGGCTGAATGAACATCCCATAGACACTCCCAAAGGACCACCATGAAATTCAGGGACAATCCCAAGGGCCCATCACAGCTCGTCCTGCTGATCGACCATGGAGTTGAGTCCAGTGCGGTGTCAGGACCTTGCTGAACTCCCCCAGCAGTATTACCCAACGTGCCATGGAGCTATAATCTGGAAATGTTCTGAGAACTACTCTGAGAAGCCCCCACCACACACAGGAAAGTCCGGGCATGTCACCTTCAAAAGGCTCTGAGAAAACCTGGGGAAGCCTCCTAGGAAGTTTCATCCTTGCATGTCACAAAGTTAGAAAGGGGGCTTTGAAGCTTTGATGCTCTTCCCCAAGACTGGCCTATTTCAATGCCTTTTGAAACAAAAGAGAAGACAAGGTTATATTTTCAGTATCATGTTTCCTTTCTTCTTTTCATCTTGTTAAAGTAGTACCAACGTCTTTAAAAATGTAACTAGGAGAGCATTAGAGCTTTTTTTCTCTAATTATATTCAAGATGTATTATTCATGTCTTGTATTCCCTCTTTCCTTTCTTCACACCTTTGCTCGTAACAGTAAGATTCTTGGAATGTAAGCTTTGGACCTGGGAGCCAGTCAAAAGAAAAATGACCTTTTCCTATATTCTTGGAGTAAGGAAACATGTTTATTACATACTTCCTATATGGCAGCCATGGGAAAAGAAGGTTTTACATACCTTCTCTCAGTTCAGTGTTTGGATGGCAGTTAAATAGTATTCCTGTTTTATAGATGAGCAGATAGAGCCAAGATAGGTTAAATAATGTGCCTTTGGCCTCAAAAAGCTAAAAACAAGTTAAGCTGGAATTTAAGCCTGGAAAACTAGACTCTTGAATTAAAATATGACTGCATCTATTATGGCCTATTTTATTTCATCATAATCATGTCACACATTGTAATATAACTTTAAGTTTTCATTTGCTTATTGTGTTTAAATAAGATGTGGGATTATGTTTGGGGTTGGGGTGTTGCTCAGAGGTAGAGCACTTGTCTGGCATAGGCAAAAACTTCAATCTCAAGCACCTCAAAAAAAGAAGTTATATTTACTTACAAAATTTAACAGTTATAATAACACATATCTCTTATAGCACTCACATCTCTATGAATCTTCACATTTACTTCAAATTTCTACATAGCCAGGCATAGTGGTACATGCCTAAAATGCCAGCACTTGGGAGGCTAAGGCAGGAGGATCACCCTAAGTTTGAGGCCATCCTGGGCTACATAGTTCAAGACCAGCCTGAACTGGACCAGGGATGTAGTTCAGTGATGCCTACCAGGCAAGTGAAAGATCTAGAGTTCAATCCCCAGTACTGGGCAAAAAGGAAAAAAAAAGAGACCAGCCTGAGCTATACAGTCTCAAAGAATAAAACAAAAACTTTTTTCTGCATGGATATAATGGTATAGAATTCTTGATGCTTTTCTTTTAAAAGGCAAATATAGACATATGTTTAGATTTTTGGCTATGTCGTGCATATCTATTCCATTCTTAGTAACTATTTTTAAAACATCTTATTATCCAAACACTCCAGTACCTGCTGGTGACAACCCTCTGGAGCTGAGCAAGATTGCTGATGAAAACTGCCAGATTAACAGATACGGTTACTTTAAAGCCACCCTTACGATTGTAGGTAAGGCTGAAGACCAATGAAGAGGGAATCAGCTGGGATCACCCATTCCCTTGCTAACTCTAGGAGGGTAGAGGTACGGAAAGGGACGCCTCACTTCCTGTCCAACATATTGCCACATGCATAAGGAAAGGCTTTTCCAGTTCCCAAGTCTCTGGCTGCTCACCCTCCTTCCTCACACATGCTGGTGGAGAGTAGCCCTCTTTGAGGCCCACATGCACATGGCCCTGGATCCTTCCTGAGCATCCAGCATTTGGGATATATAGAGGATGGAGGAAGGCCAGGATGGAATTCCACGTTTCCCTTAGCTAATTTTCACAAAGTCACTGTTCTTGTTTGTAAATCGGAATGAACAAGCTACTACACATGGCTGTGCATTGTGGACACTGCCTCAAAGTGTCAAACAGCAGAACAGACACCTGGGAACCAGAGCCCAGCCTGTGTACCCTGGGCCCAGTGACATCTGCCTGAAAGAAGCTGGCCACTGGCTGACCAGAAACATCTGCCCTAAGGGGCTGCTGCTTTCTAACGCACACCCAGGCTCTAGCACCAAGAATCTAGGTTGGACCAAAGGACAGTTCAGTGTGGCTTTGAAAATGTGATCTGCGGGCCGGGGATTTAGCTCAGTGGTTCTGCCACCTACCTCCCAAGCGTAAGGTCCCAAGTTCAAGCCCCAGTACCAAAAAAAAAAAAAAAAAAAAAAAAAAAAAAAAAAAAAAAAAAAAAA